TCGCCGCCTATATTTTCTGGGTAAACTGGTTTGCTCTGTTTGCTATCCCTTATAATCACTGACATTCTACCTCTTGTAGCTAATAAACTTTGTTTTTGCTTTATCTAAACCGTCAAGTCGGAGTGAAGTGTGTAGGAACCATAGCTCAAGGCGCAAAGGCCCCTCCCACAGTGAAGGAGGGGGTGACCTTTGAGCTTATGCTGCCGCCTATATTTTCTGGGTAAACTGGTTTGCTCTGTTTGCTATCCCTTATAATCACTGACATTCTACCTCTTGTAGCTAATAAACTTTGTTTTTGCTTTATCTAAACCGTCAAGTCGGAGTGAAGTGTGTAGGAACCATAGCTCAAGGCGCAAAGGCCCCTCCCACAGTGAAGGAGGGGGTGACCTTTGAGCTTATGCTGCATGGTTCACTGTGCAGCACCAGGCAGTGTTATTTGGGAGTTACACTCGAGGGATTGGAGCCCAGGGGACGGGAGTTGCCTTCACTGGAGCCTTTCTGTTGTTGGTTCCTTGCAGGGGCTGGTCAGACAGCCTGCTTGTACTGCAACTGGGTGTGTCCCTACCCGTGTGTGGGCTAATGAAAGGGCAGGCCTGAGGGTTTTCAGCTTGTCACAGCAGCACAGTGAGAGATGGAGCCCTGGCTGGTGGGTTAGGGGCTCAGTGGTACCCCCATTCTAGGTGGCACCCCAGGGGGCACAGTGGCATATGCGAACAGGGTCACATGTCCAGCTTGTTGCTCAGAGATTTGCACTTCATACAGGATGGCAATTTTAAGTGTCATGGCTCGAGATGAATCCGAGAGATTACCAATCTGTTATTTTCTGTTGGTTTATTTGGGGTCAGGGAGCTAGAGACAGAAAAGCAGGAAGAGGAGGGAAAACAGTGAAACTGTTGTGAAAGTGGAGCTGTGCAGATCGCAGGCAGAGGAAAAAGCAAGCGAACCCCCAAAACCGTTGGAGACAAAAAGAATTTCAGAAAGAAGAAACTGAAGCCCCGAAGGAAGTCACGAAAGCAGCGAATGCAAGGCCGGGAGCACACACCAGTGAGTTTTGGAACCGAGACAGGCAGAGGAAGTCAAAGAAATGGCAATCCAGGAATTAGCCAGGGGGGAGGAAGAAAGAAGAAGAAAGCACCAATGAAGAGGCAGAACCAGATAAAAGATTTGATGGGGAAAAGGATTGCAGGGTTGATGTTGAGTATCAGGCCCGCTGATGGGGGGGGGGGGCAATTTTCTCTGGGTCTGATGATTCAGAAGAGACCTGGATTTCCAGCAGCAGCGGCAGCTGGTGTCCTGGGCCCTTTAAATCAAGACCAGAGCTCCAGGAGCTGGGCACCCCTGAAGGGCTAGTCCCAGCTCTGCCTCTTCTCCTGAGGCCGTGCCCCTTCCCAGAATACATCCCCCACCCCTCCCACACACACATCTTGCCCAGGGGCCCAGCAATTCTGTGGCCCCCTCTGTTGAGTATCCCACTGAAACCCCAGAGGAAAAGGGTAAAGTCTCAGGTACTGCTGGAGGAAGGGGACAGTGTCTCTTTAATTCCTTTGCCGTGGTGGGAAAGTCTATGCTTCCGGGGTGGGGGTGGTTGAGACCAGTTCCTGCCCCGAGCTTGAAGGCAGCAGAAAGGGAGGGCGTGTTGCCTCACAGGGAGAAAACTGGCTGCCAGCAGGTGGCAGAGGAACAAAGCACAGCCCTCACTCTGGCCAGCGGTTTTCCAACTTTTTTTCTCGTGACACCCTCACTCCCCCGTGAAGAAAATTATTGTTGCCCTGCGACCCAATGTAATTTGACTAGAGTGTGGGCTCCGGGGTGGGAGCTTTGGGGTGTAGGAGGGGCTCTGGTTTTGGGGGGTCAGGGATGAGGCAGGGAGGGGCTTATCTTGAGCAGCTCCCGGTCAGCCGTGCAGGGGGGGGTGCTAAGGCAGCTTCCTGCCTCTCCGGCCACCAATGCCCCCGGAAGCAGCCAGCAGCTGGTTCCCAGACAGTGGGAATGTAGAGCTCGTGCTCCGGGCAGGGGCAGTGCACGGAGCCCTGTGCATTCTGCCCCCTGCAGCTAGGGGCTGGGGCTGTTGTCAGCCACTTCTGGGGCACAGCACAGTCTGCAGTGCCAGGAGAGGCAGGGAGCTGCCTTAGCCTCCCCCCCCCTTTCCCCCCCGCCCACTGGTCACCTGCTCCCCCTGCAGCAATGAGACCCAGCGCCCGGCATTCCGCCGTCCAGTCCTGGGGCACGACCCCTCGTTTGAAAACCACTGCTCAGGGAGATGTGCCCTGCTGGGAAGCCCAGAGGGGCGGGTGGAATCCTGGAGACCGCTGAGGTGGGCGAGGGTTGCGTGGACCCTGTAGCTGGAGGCAAACCCGACTCGTGCCTGCACGTGAAGGAACGGTCCAGGCTGTTAGCTGCCAGCTCGGCACAGCTGGACGGAGATCGGAGTCCATGAGGGAGCACGGGGGAGGGGGGGTGTCTTGGAGGGGGCCCCAGAGGAGGAAGCCAAAAAGGAATTAGCAGGAACACAGGAATGTTTCCTTGCTGATCGCATTATTGGGGGGGGGTGTCCAGGACAGAAACGCTGGGTCAGTGTCTGTGCTCCCAGGCATCCAACCTGTGGCTCAGGCTTTAAGGAGTTGTCACTTATCTCCTGGAGAGGAGCAGTCACACAACTGAGCTCTTGGGGAGGGGGGGGTGACAGAAGATACCCCAGTCCAGGTCCCACTGTTGCAAAGGGTTGTTCTTGAGGCGCTTGGGGAACCTAACTCTGTCTCTTTAAGACAGGATGAGAACTCTGCTAGGGAACATGCCTGTGGGTGCAAATGCTACTGACCCACTCGAGAAAAGGGAGGAGGGAGCAATTTCCGGGAGGAGGGTGGGTTTAAATACAGCAAGAGGCTAAGACCAGCGGCTGGAAGATCACAGTTCTCTAGGAAAAGGGGGTGGGAAAGGTCTCTGTGCTGGGAGTAGAAACCACAAGGAAGCCCTAAGTGTGGTGGACTTTCTGCTTGGTCGTGTAACCCTGGAGATCAAATGCAGCTGCACAGAGGGCCAGCCACCATGCCAGGTCCCCTCATGTCTTTGCCTCACCTAACCCCCCAAAGACATTCCTAAATTGAGACCCCTGATTGAAGGGGGCTCACACCGAAGGGGACCAAAGAACAGTCTCGGAATGCCTGCTGTAGCTCACAGAAGCACTGAAAAACACCACAAGTGTCAAACAGACCAGATCATCTAAATAGAAGATCTTTTGACCATGCTAGGAGTGGTGTCAGGGAAGTCCTGTAAGGATACTACTTCTCAGCTAATACCTGTAAACAGGATTGGTGGAGCTTGGTACTGCAGGAAAAGCACAACAAACCCAGTCTGCTGGGTGGAAGGGGAAACTGAGGCATGCCGCTGGATGGCATTTGGGAGCTAAATGCCAAGACACCTGCACTCTACGTCGTACTGATACCTCCATTATGTTAACAATGCTATGCACAAGCATGTTTTCAGGCAGCCTGGGGAAAGGAAACACACAACTTTGCAAAAACACCTGTGGGTGATACTTCAATGCTCGGTAACAGTTGGGAATTGTACAGCCAAACCCTAAAGAGGACATGAGGCACACTGTTTCTGCATTAGTCAGTGGCCAACCCTCTGGCAGTAATCTAAATGTGGGAAGTTTGACACTGCACCCCATATTCTTCACAGTGCTATTGTGACAGTACGATTCTGGCATCGTGACGCTGTGTTTTGTACAAGAGACGTTACGGGCAGCGTCATCGGAGAAGTGACGATTTGCCCGATAGGAGCATTCCGTGTGTAGGCCTGGGCCAGGTTTGTGTCGGACGTTCTCAGCGGTGACTATGTGCCTGGGTTTCAGGTGGAGTTTCACGAGGGCAATGCCCACTGGGCATGATGCTTTCAGGCCAGGTAGCTGCTTGGGAAGGGCCTATTCCTGGTAATGGGCCATTAGGGAAAAAGCAACAGGCCTTAGGAGGAGCGTATCCACCACCTGAGCCTTTCTCAAGACACTCCAGGCAACCTGTGAGCAAGGGCTGCCGTGACTCAGCAAAGTAGGCAAGGGCCTGTGGCCAGGTCACGTGATCCCAGACTCCACCTTGGGATGTGCCAGTGTTTTTCCACAAACCGAGTTTGGGACACAGGGTTCCCACCATGTGCTAAAGCTGCCTCAGGCAGGGAGGGACATCATGGGGGGGTGTTTCTTCTCTCCCCTCCGGAAAAGTCTGCTGGAGACACCTAAGGAGCAAAGACTCAAGTGGTGGGGAGAGGGAGTGCTGAACACAGGCTATGGGAATTTCTAGCCTGTGCATGAAAGACCTGGAGCTTCCAAGCTGTAAAGAAACGCCAGCTTGCCCCGTAAGAGTCTGCAGCCTGCGTCTCTCATCGGTTGGGGGAGACTCTGCTAATCCACATCCAATCTATCTAGTAGCATTAAGCTTAGTTTGCATTTTGGTTTGTTTGCTGGGTAATCTGCTTTTATCTGCTTCCTGCCCCTTCTATTGCTTAAAATCTCTCTTTTGTAGTTAATAAACTTGCTTCTGCTTCATCGAAACCGGTGAGTTGGCGTAAAGTGTGTGAGAACGTTAGCTCAAGGGGCAAAGCCTGTGGCATATTCCTCTCCACACTGAAGGAGGAGGGTGAACTTTGAGCTTATGCTGTAGAGTTCACTGTGCAGCACCAGAGAGTGTTATTTGGGGGTAATTACTCCAGAGGCAGTGAGTGCCGGGGGGAGCTGGGGCTTGCCTTCACTGGAGCCTTTCTGTTGATGGTTCCTTGTGTCAGACAGCCTGCATGTACAGCAGCTGGGTGTGTCCCTACCTGTGTGCAGGCTAGTGAAAGTGCAGACCAGAGAGCTTTGCAACTTGTCACAGCAGCACAGTGAGAGATGGAGCCCGTGGGTCAGAGGGGTCAGCGGTACCCCAGTTTCAGGTGGCACCCTGAGAGGGAAGCTGTCATACTGACCTCACCTCGTTTATCATCTGCTGTAACTACCATACCTTGTCTCCTCTGTGTTTCTACAGTGGAGTAGCTAATGTGTGAGCTTATTGTTCATAGAATGAATGCTCTGAACATGAGAGTATGGCTAACACTACTCTGTTGCTATCAGGGTGTGACATAATACACCTTTTGTGTATAATCTACACACTATTGTGAATAATCTTTGTACAAACTATGCCTGGGGAGTGTCATCTGAAAACTCGTAATTTGCTGGTCAGTATTATCCTGAGACAGTTTGCCATATAATGTTGTCACACCAAGCTTTTCCTGTACGGTGGTATTGACAAGTGTTCCAAATCCACAACCCCTACGGGAACAGAGGTTGGCAAACAGGTCTATCCTCAACAAAGGGATATGTGCTTGACTTTATTTGCATTGAAGCCATAAACAGAGTCATTAAACAGGAAGGGAAACAAAGGATGCTCAAACAGATTAAAGCTGCATTTCTCAAACTGTGGGTCCCAACCCCCAGTGGCTCTCTCAAACTGTGGGTCCCAACCCCCCGGTGGCTCACGAGCAACTTAGAGGGGGATCGTGGTATCACAAAGTTTGAGAACTCCTGGTTTAAAGAAAACCCAGCAGGGAGCATCCTTTCACGCAGAGGCTTTCCTGGCTCTTGGCTGGAAATGTTTGTCAAGAGTGGGACTGGAACTATAACAAGAAGGGGCAAACACCCTAAGACACCCTGACACACACACACACACACACCCAAGACAACTGAACACTAGGGGAGGGTTCCTGACTTAAAGTTCTGCTGGAACAGGCGGTGTGAAAATTTGTGTGGAGATTAAGATAGTTTCTTAAGCAGATTGACGTTTATTAGAGAATTTTTAGAGACAAACAATACATAAATTACAGTAGACAATTTTGTGAACAAGTATGGGTACATCCGGTAGCCGGTTTGGGTTACTTAAAGAAAACCCAGCAGGGAGCATCCTTTCACGCAGAGGCTTTCCTGGCTCTTGGCTGGAAATGTTTGTCAAGAGTGGGACTGGAACTATAACAAGAAGGGGCAAACACCCTAAGACACCCTGACACACACACACACACACCCAAGACAACTGAACACTAGGGGAGGGTTCCTGACTTAAAGTTCTGCTGGAACAGGTGGTGTGAAAATTTGTGTGGAGATTAAGATAGTTTTTTAAGCAGATACTAGTACTCACTAAAAATCTCTCTCTACACTTATTAAAGTTTTTACTTTTGTATCTAATCCAGCGTGCTTACATTGAAGTCTCGGGGTAACTAGTTAAGGTAATAAGATGATTTATTATTCCCTTAAGACAGAAGTGGGGAACCTTTTTTTCACTAAAGAGCCACTGATCCACAGAACAATCAGTGGTGCACCACACACAGGGGAGACCTCACTGACCTGGCTCCTAGAAAGTCCCCAAAAATCCACTTCACTGACCCGGCGTCCAACAAACTCGGGGCTTCTCCTGGCAGCAGGGTGAGCTGGTGCTCATGCTCCAGCCCTGCAGAGACTTGTCACGGGCCTGGGGTGTCACCCTAAAGTCTTGTTGTAGTTCAAACTGAAAACAGGCAGCCTGAGAGCCTGCATTTTAACTTTCCTGTGCGGGAAAGCCTGTGTGGTGTATCACAGGTGTCAATTTGGGCCTGGCAAAATGTCCATAAATGGTTTAAGGTTAAAATTGTAAGTGACTTTGCTTCTACTTTCTGTCCTGCACTGATCAGGTCATCTGCCACGTGCAGCAAAGTGAAGGCCCAATGGAGGCAGATCCGGCTGCACCCACCAAGGGTGTTGTATAGTACCGTGATCCCTTCTATGAGACTATGTCTAGACTGCAGGCTTCTTTTGCAAGAAGTTTTTCCAGAAGAGATCTTCCGGAAAAACATCTTTTGAAAGAGAGCATCTACACAGCAAAAGCGCATGGAAAAAGCGATCTGCTTTTTTGAAAGATAGCATCCACATTCATTAGACGCTATCTCGCATTTCAGTTCTGATTGCTGCGGATGGAGTGGCCACCAGGGCACCTGTGCTTTTTCCTGGAGGCCTCCTCCTTAGAAAAAAGCCCTCTTCTTTGTAGAAAGAGGTTTACCGCTGTCGGAGAAACCCCTGCAAAAAGAATGCAATTGCAGTGTGGACGTAAGTGTAGTTTTCCCGGGAAAACTCTGCAGCGTGGACATACCCTAAGCAACACAGAGTGCCCCGCTCAGCTCCTTAGAAGTGACCACTTACTCCATGGCTGTGTCTAGACTGGCTAGTTTTTCCGGAAAATCAGCCGCTTTTCCGGAAAAACTTGCCAGCTGTCTACACTGGCCGCTTGAATTTCTGCAAAAGCACTGACTTCCTACTGTAAGAAATCAGTGCTTCTTGCGGAAATACTATGCTGCTCCCGTTCAGGTAAAAGTCCCTTTTGCACAAAACTTTTGCGCAAAAGGGCCAGTGTAGACAGCTCAGATTTGTTTTGCGCAAAAAATCCCCGATTGCGAAAATGGCGATCGGGGCTTTTTTGTGCAAAAGCACGTCTAGATTGGCCACGGACGCTTTTCTCCAAAAAGTGCTTTTGCGGAAAAGCGACTGCACCAATCTAGATGCACTGTTCCAAAAATGCTTTTAATGGAAAGCTTTTCCGCTAAAAGCATTTCCGGAAAATCATGCCAGTCTAGACGTAGCCCATGTGTTTGGTGCTTTGAAGATTGGCCTTTGCTCACAGTCTCTCCGGGCTCACTAGTGATACGTTATACAAAGCGTCTCTTTCACTCACAAGGGGGTCCCAGGAAAATGAGATTTCCAAACGCTGCTGGGGCTTGCACCTTTCTGACGCGGGGAGGGCGAAATTCAGGAGCGCAGGCCGTGTTTCATTTGTAAGGAAGGACATTCGGGGGCTCCAGCATTTTTGTTACTGTCACAACAGATGCAGTGAGCCAGGGCTGAGAATTGCTCAGCCTAGAGGCGTCGGGGCACTGCCCAGGAAAGCCCTGGAACGACTTAAGCACTGAATCCGCGATTGCACTCCCCGCCCAGGTGCCAGGATGCAATCCGATAGGCCACCACGAAAATATTTTCTCGTCCCTTGAACCGTCATGCTGTGTCTCAGAGCACAGGGCCAATCCCAGGAGAGAGACGCATCCAGAGACAGGGGTGGCCACTCCTAGACATGCTCTGGATTTGTTTCTGAACCCACCTAGGAGCAGAGCCGGCCTATCCATAGACAGTCCGACGTGGCTGGGGGTGGAGCAGGGGTCTGGCTTTGGGGGAACAGGTGGGGCGGGGGTGGAGCAGAGAGGTTGCTAACAACTCTACGGGCCATGTTAAATAAGCAGCTAATCTGCCATGGAACGAGACAAAGGAGAGGACACACCTGTGACCAAGTGGGAGTTTTACTCACCTCCTTCTGTCGCATGCGAGGCTCACTGCTCTATCCTCACGCTGTGTGTGCCTCGGTTTCCCTGGGGACTGCACCAAGGCCTAGATGATGGGCTGATGGTGATGGGGGCTGGGTGTGTGACTTTTGCGGAGGCCGTCAGAGCAGGTGAAGCTGCACAGCTGCTTGGACATGAATAATGGCTGATGCCCTTCATAACCTGAGCCACAGGAGGGGGATGTGGCCCCATGCCATGTTTGGCCCAGGGAGCAGGACAGAGGCTGGAGACCCCTCCCACCAGATGGTGCCTTGCCCCACAGCTCCTCCCCCTACCAGGTGATGTGGGGTTTGCTGCCTCCCCACCCCCACACTTTTGCTCCTGCCAGGTGTTGCAGAGCTTGCTGCTTCGCCCCCCTGGGATCTGGGTCCATACCCCTGCCCACTCCCCCTTCTCTGGGGGTGGGAGGAGGGAAGGTACGTTTGATTTATTCCCTGGCTGGCGCTTCTGTCATTACTTTGCCTAATTTGCTCCTTCACCCCTGCCCAGAATCAGCCCTCTGCCAGCAACCCAGCACCCATCTGTGACAAATAGGGAGAGGTTTGTCATTACTTATATCATGCCGCCGAGTGCCTCAGTTTCCCCTTCCACCTAGCACGGCTCCCCAGTGCAGGGGGAGGGTTCGATCTGCTCTCAGGCGTGTGTGTCACTTCCCTGTCCGAGCCATTGCAGAACTGCTGTACCCACCCAGCTGAAGGGTTGCGTCAGGCACTGGGGGGGTCCCCCTCCTTTCTGGCTGTTGTTACCTTGGCTGCTCCCTTGGGACTGCCTCCCTGGTGTTAGTTTCACGCCCCAGGAGGTGACCTGATTCCTCACAGATAATGGGGGGAGGTCCACCCCCCTCTCTCTGGCAGCAGCCCCGCATGCATTATGGCTAAGGCAGGCAGGGCTAGTGGGAGGAGGGGATGCCTCTCCCCTTGTGCCTCCAACACCCAAAGCAAACCAACGGCTTGGCTGAC